CCCCCCCCGACATTTCTTGAAACACTAGAACTCATTTAATATAGAAATAACGTAAAAACTGAAATTAAAAAAAATCTTGCGGGCATACAAGATATACAGTTTTTTTTACATTAAGCTTCAACGATGAGATAAATCGACTAAAAAATTCTCTTCGAACATGGATTATCTATGAAATTTTTTTTACCGAAACCTGAACAGTAAACAAAGTACACGTACATGTAGTTTGTAGCGTCAAGTTTGTGTGCAAATGGTCACTTGTCGTGTAATTTGTGCTCAAATGTTGTGTCGGATGGAATCAACTTGTGATCGGCCTCAGTCGATCACAGAAACCAGAATCCTTTTGCTTATATGTTAACTGCAAGCAAAGTTTACCAGGGGTTTATAGAAAAATGATACGCAGTATACTTCAATCCGAAACTGCATTCTCTCATGTATTCGCAATTGACATTTGTAAATTTCACAAATTTCACTTGCGAATACACCTGTAAGACTACAATTTACAGGTTCATGACTTTTCACCTTATCATACATTATAGAAAAAAGACATTCTATTAAAATGTTGTAAATTTTGAATTTACTAGGGGGAGGTAAATGCAAAATTTACAACATGATTATCATGTTGTTCCAGTACCAAATACAGTAAAACTCGGTCATAGCGAATTCTTGGGGACCTCTGAACTAGTTATCTGCGAAAATCTATGAATACATGAATGTTTTCTTAGCCCTGGCGATGTTTATATTTATTATCTTTTACAAACCATATTGGTATCAAACTGTGCTATTTTCATTTGATCATTTTTGCAACTTTTATTTATTTTGCTTGTAAAAACTGTTGGGAGATATCTCAGAGGAATTATTCCCCTGAAATTTTAAAAGAGTCGTTTTTGTTGCTTCTTATGAAGATAAGTCGCATTACGTGTATTACCGTTTTCATTGTTCAGGCTAGCAACTACTTTTTAGTATTGTATTACATAATACAGTTGGTAAGTGTTCTATCATCAGTGTCTTTTCAGCACTTAATCATTTTACTTATACTTTATATCTATTCCACTTGATAGATTTACAATAAATTTTTGTACCCATATTTTTATTACATTGTTCTGAAATTGAACAAATGCTGTAGGAGAAGTAGAATTTTGAAATCTGCTTATGGATAGAGACAGATGTTCACCTAGACAGACGGACATACAGACGACGCACACTTTAACAATGCAATGTACATGCAATATATATATTGAAGCACCTCTTTTCATAGATTAGTTAATCTATATATTATCATAATTTCTTCTTGATTGCATACTACATTTTTTTCATCGTGAAAAAAACTACTTGATCCACCCCTCACCGCATTTCAATTTGATTATTGAGAATTTTGTCGTGAAAAAGGAATTTAAGATAAAGCCTTTTAAAAAGTGTCAACAATAACTCTATATCTATATTCAGTTTTGTCACATGAGTATTTTCACCATAATCACAATGTCAAAACGTGGGATTTTTCGTATTTTTGCATTTATGCTGTAACTTTGAAGTATTGTTAGACAGGCTATCAGAGATTGTCTTCAAACTGTTATCTTAAACTATAACTGACAAGAGCTGTGGACGAATATCCAGTGCATATGAATAAGTCTTGATAAAAGGTTATGTGAAATATAATTTGAAAAAAAAAAATAAAATATAACAAAATTGATCTTTTGCAACCTATAGTATTTTGTGAAATAAAAATCTACAACAACACTGTTTTGCTATTTCTGCTATGCAGATTTTGGCAAAATATAGTACTGTAAGAGCAGAAATATTCGTTGGGGATTAAATTTCGTTTATTTCGTTGTTAACAATTATCAACGAAATTAAATCCCACACGAAATTTTTGTATGACTATATATTGAATAAAGCTTCTTTCGAAACAACGAAATTTAATGCCAACGAAACTTCGTTCAATACTAGCAACTTATTTTTTATATCTCTCTATAGGAATTTTTGCATGGCTGTCTGTCTGTGTGTGTCACAAAACTGTGGGGTCATAACCTTTAAATCGTTTAATTGAAATAAATCAAGGTTTTTTTCCAGGTTCTGAGGTCACATGACAATGAGATCAAGGCCATGACTTTGGAACCTTAATACAGAATAATTTCAAATTTGAGTACGCAGTTTCTGATGACCCAGAATGGTGTCTTTATTTTGACTCAGAGTTATAACTCAAATGTCAAGCTCACTGGACAAAGAGATATTCAAATAATGGCACAAATCCTACTAGTCAACAAATTTGTAACTGTCGATTATAATAAATTCAATTCTTTATATATTGTTAAATATTTAAAAGAGATGATTATATTTTGATTTAATGACATGGGTAAAGATAGAGGTAATCCCGACTAGAGCTGGGAAAGGCAGTGGAGATACTCGTCACTATAAAAAATGAATAAATCGTGCGTTGGATGCAACTGATGCTGAAGGTCGTGGGTAGTTTTAAAGATGAATTTAAGGTTTCATGAGGGTACCCCTCCACCATGTTTCTATATATTCATACATAAACTGTGTGAAATATATCCGTTTCCCCGTTACATAAAAATTGAACCTGATGTCTCTCAGGAATTCTTGGAAAATAATTGGTGACGCTTTCTCAACTTCAAGATTCTTGTCTTTCCGAAATCATTGTTTTTTGCCCATCTATAAGCAAAGTACTTAAAATATTTACCATGAAAAATTTTGGTAAGACAAGGAAGGTTTCGCAGTTTCAGTTTAAAAATGGAATAAAAACACCAATATTGTTGAAAGTTTACTTTGTAAATTAAAAAAAAAATCGATATAAATTTCATAAGATATTCGAAGGATACTCGTGGATGTCCTGTATTTTATGCAAAAATCAGTTTGTTTACAATAATCTTCTAATTCTTCTACGTTCTAGATAAAAACTTTGTTTATGTAATGTATACATTAAGCAATTTTAAAGTCTTATCATCAGCCCTGTGCTTATTGGATTATCAAAATCGGTAATATTAATGGCCAACGGCAGTTCAAAGGACAAAAACCAAGAGTTTCCGAATTTAATCAACTTAACACTTTCAACATTGGTGCCAATCCAAATGTTTAAAAGAACTGATAATCTTTGCTCCGCAGTACATATAGAAACATTAAAAATGTCTTTTGTTTACAACGTTTTTGCAGTATGCTCTTCCTAACACTAACGAATAAAATGTCAAAATACATTGTATTTCAATATACATGCACTATACTCTGATTGATTTTTTTTTTATTTAAACAAATTTACCGTAGCTTAAGATATAAAAGGATTGCGCAGAAATCCTTTAAACTGACGACACCCTCTACCAAAATGTGGATCTCATGTGTTAATTAACAGACATCGTATACCTAAAAGCCTTTGCTTAAGCGAATAAAAGAAATAAAAATTAATAATATATATATATATATATATATATATATATATATATATATATATATATATATATATATATATATATATATATATATATATATATATATATATTTCTCTAATTTTTAGATTCTAAAGATACGAATGTTAGAAAGTCACGCTTAAAAAAGAAGTAAGAATATTCGACTTACGGTTACATGTCATAACTTGAAGAGGTTGATTTGTTCCCTTTATTTTAGATTAATAAAATGTTGACTAAAAAAAAAAAAGAAATTTTTGTTTCATTTTAGGATATATTCTCTAAACCTTTAATAAATGAAAAAGTGACTTAATATAAATAACCCCACTCTATTGGTCTTGATGTAAAAATAATTTTTTATTTTTTAGGTGCAAATAATTTAATACATCATATGTGGCTTTTTGATCCTGGTTCTTATTGGTTCTGAAGAATTATCAAAAACTTATTTTGATTTCCTTATGAGATTTTCATGTATTGGTAAATCTAGTATTGTTTCATTGACATTCACGATAAAGGAGATGGGTGTACAAGGCGTGGAGAATGCCTATAGCGTCGGATATATAAAAATCATACTCAATTTGTGAATTAAGTATTTAGAGTAAAGTTCTCATTATGAACTTGTGATAAACAAAACTTTTCTAAGGAAAATTTTCTTGGCAATTTAAAAAAATGAAGTGGTATTCGTGGGGTTCGAACCCTGGCAATAAAATTCCTGAGTATCATTTTCTTTTGAGACTAAAACGCTAACCACTACGCTACACAACTGCTGATGAATAATGGCATTTAAATCATGTTTGTGACATGACCCTTGACTAAATGTACCTCGAGTATTTCTCGGAAGGATGCGAATGTTGTGTCATAAAAGTGAATTTTTAAGGTATAGGGGGTTGCTCCATGTTTCTGTTAACCAAAAATTGTATATTTTTACGCAAACTTTGAGGATAAACTTAAAAAAAAAAAGATAATTGGAGCGAAGACCTACTCATATCGAAAATTTGTGTTACAGTATAAGAAAATGATCCTTTTTGCCCTCTTCAGTGTTGTATACTATTTTATAGGCAAATAATTTCAACCTTTGTGGAGATTTTTTCAATTTGTGGAGATTTTACATACTAAAAGTATACTTTAATGTTAGATTAAAAATCAAAGAAAATTTTGTTATAATGAGATATAATTTTTCACCTTCATGTTTGTTGCACTGTTGACATTTCGCTCGCCTTGTTTGCCCAACTTCTTTGCGTTCAATTTTAAAAAATCAAATCTTGAACTTGGTTACTTTTTATAAACTGATTACCGTATTGCAGAAAAAAACTAATCTATGATCGACATTTAATTACTATTTCACTTATATTATTATTATTATTAATCTATCGAAAATATTACGTGAATTTATTGAAATCATAAACAAGCTTTCCACTGTATACGTAGTACCCGGTATTTTTAGAGTTCAGTTTGCGAAGAAGGGGGATAAAAACAGGCTTTTAGATTTCTAATTATTCCTCCAAAGGATTAAAATAAAAAAAGGAGAGATACGAATGTTTTATTCTGAAACTCAAGAACACATTTTTCAAACCATGAAAACTTTCGTATGACAATGAACCTTTGACAGATGTTTCTGAGTGATTGCACACATCTTTACCCTGTTTCCGGCAAGTGAACTGGAATGTGACTAGATTTTTCACATGTGATTGTGAATCACGTGGCTATAACTGTTCCATAGTTGTGGACTCCGTTGAGGCCACGCTTATTTCACTAGAAGACATATCACCCCCGCTGTAATCTTCCTCCTCACACCTTGTCCAACTATGTAACAGATCACTAAAATCAGGGGGCTGGGAGGAGTTAATTATAGGAGCACCGTTTCCGTTTACTTTGCCGTGTGTTCGAATAGTTCCTCCAGGTTCCTGCCAGAAGGACTGAGGAAGCTTACGTCGATTCATTGGCGTTAAATCACTATACTTTTTAACATCTGCTTGCATACGTCTAAGCTTCTTTGATTTTTTCTTATCTGATATAAAATCTTTTAATCCATATCTAAACAAGTCTTCAAGAGGCCCCAGTCCCACTTTTGTGTCCAATTTCCCACTAAATTTATGTTTATTATCTTTTTTCTCTTGTGAAGCATTGTTAAGAGTTAATAACTCTTTTGTGTTTTTGGTATCTACATTTTCACCCTGAGCAATGCGGAGTAGATCTGCGTAATACAGTTCTCTCCCTGATTTTGTTGTGACCCATTTGTCCTCATATATATCACAAGAGTCCTCGTCTTTCTTTTTACCAAAGAATTTTTGAATATCGGAATTCACCATATCTGCAAAATTCAATAGTTGTTGCGTCATATCCGGTCCTTGCGACAATGGGATGTCAAAGCTATCATCCATCAAATCTTCCGAATAATGGGAGTCATGGTCACTAAAATCATCGTCATCCATTTTGTTATAGATGCATTTATCGAACGTTTCTACGGCCGCTTTAGTTAATGGTTCAAAAGGTCTCTTGATGACCGTCTGGTGAAGGTCCGGGCCATGCATCTGAGACATTCTGGGAGTCTGAACGGCGGTCATCGCAGCCTCGTTTCCATTTATACGGGGAAGAGTTGAAAAATGCATCTGGAAAATTTTCAAATCATCGTCTTGGCTTTAAATATGGAGGGAAATTTTTCCTGAAATGACAAGACAAAATCATGTGTTTAAAAAAAAGTAGGTTAGGGACAGGAAGAAGGATAAATAAGTCACAAAACGTATCTGTGATCTCCTGGGAGAAAATTGACACACCACGGAAAGAGCAGAGTCCATTTCTCGGCGGAGGTCCTTAGTATTGATATCTTTTCGTCAGTTTTTATCTCGAAAATCTCTCGAAATGAAAGAAAATCAATATATTAAGCATGAATTCTAATATCTTGATAAAGCGTTCGTGTGAACTCCACCATCAAAATAATGGTTTCACAATGTTTAATTGAACTCAAAACAGGTGGTACCATTCGAATGTTTAATTTAAATCTGACTGGATAAAAGTTGTGGTGAAACAAACTGTGGCTGGTCCTCAGTATATTAAAGTAATTTTGAGATTATCAGAGTAAATTTAATATAAAAGAAGTTTACCCTGCCAACCGAATTTTCATTAGCTAGAACAAATGAAATATTGTTTAACACTAAACCCCGGAAGACTAGCGTTTTACATTGCTTATACATAATGTCAGTTGCTAAAGAAAAAAAGTTTTCTTTTTGATTGTTACATCCAGAAAGAAGAATATTTAGGACTATTTCTGTGTCAGGCTTTATCACCTATACGACTATTCCTTTAATAAAATGTTTGTATACCTTTTGTATCTACTGTCTTTATGACATACATGTATTTTCTTTTCTACATTATGAATTACGAAATCAAGGATTTTTCTTGAAAAATAGAAAATAAAATAGTGTAAAAATAATTCATTTTAAGTGGTGCCCAGTGCCATAAACTACATATAAACAAAAAAAGAGGAAGTTCTCACGTGAATAAGTGAAATATGTAGATAACGAACAGTAATCAAGCTCAAAAATCCATTGAAAATCGAGAGCAGAGCAAACACGGACCTCTAAAAAAACATCAGAGGTGGGGATAAAGAATGCAGAAATAAAAGTGTGTTAGTTACTAATATCAAAAGGAAAGAAAATTTATTTTAGAGGAAAATTGATAGGAGAATTGTCAATTTTTTTGTGCAGATATTATTGTTCTTAATATAAGATAAAAGTTATGTGATACTTTTTTATCATCGGGGAAAGTGACTCCTCTCCAAATTGTTCTAAAATATCCTGTTTCACTACTCTAAGCACCAAAGGCACTTCCTGTGATATATTTTTCTTATAAAAATATAACCCAAAACCTAATAATTAGGTATGGCGTTAAACGTTTTTTATAAGAAAAAAATATGTAACGTTAAGTGCCTGTGTCTAAGCATGTGCTAGAAAATGCAAATATATAATTTAATGGCATTTATCTAATACTGTGAACATATATTTGGACCGCCTGCAATAAAGGGCTATGAATACAAATTATGTCTAATGTTTAATGAAACAATCTCAGTTTACATAAATGGTAGACAGAAGAACATTACAGTGACCGTTCGACAGAGGATGCTTACTCCTCCTAGGCCTCTGAAACTTCCGGGGTCCGTGTTTTATGCCCTGTTCAGAAATTTGAATTGATTGTAGATTTCTTTTAGATCGACTATTCGTTATTTTCACCTTTTGCATATATCACAAAAACATTATAAATTTAAGGAGGAAATGTTTTGATAAATGACTAATATTTTCCAGAAATTTTCAAGATTTAAAATCCATATTGTGGTGAAACCTGGACCAATTAAGGTAATCATGGAAAGACAATCCCTAATATGTAATATTAAAAATAAACCAGCTCTGTATTTATTTTACCACATTGCATTCCCACGAGTGTCATTGGGTCGGAAATCTTTAAATGGGTGTTTTAATTTAAACTATAGTTGTATATATACATTATATAGCTAAAGAATCTCTCAGATAATTTTTGCATTGTGCAAAATTTCCTCATCTTACCCTATGCATTAATATCAAAGTTCCACAATATATTCATTTCATCTAAACACAAAATCTGTGGTTACTGATTCACTTAAACAAATATAGAAATATACATGTATTTCTAATTCGAATCGTTTTTCAGAGTGAGGAGGAGTCTTTGAGATATAAGACGAGACTCTCGCCACTACCTCCCGCAACTCCCTCCCCATCTCTAAAACGTCATCGCTAGGTGACACTCCATCTCTGACAGTTTTCCTTGCAAACAAAATTACACACATTTTATCCTTTTCAAACTAAACCAAATTATGATCACTCATGATTATTTGGCACTATACATAAGTAGGGATATACTAATTTGTATTCATAACCTTTAATGCAGGTCGTTTACACTAATAAATAAACACTCTGCCAAAATGATGTGTTTTCAGATAAATAAATGTATTAGTACATGTATTCAAGCTAATACATGTACATAGATGAAGAATGCAGTCTGAAACTTACATGTAGTCTATGAGCTAAAAAATTAAGCAAACTTTAGGAACATGTGTCTTTGATTGTCCAGATGTAAAGAAACACCAAAAAAGAATTTATTATACAATCTTGCTCCTATTCTGCATTAAAACTGAGAAAAAAATTGAATGTATTTAGTCTCGCGAGAGATTACGATGTTTGATTTTTGTGACAGTGACACAAGGAAGGATTTTCGTCGTTGCACGAAAACTCATTTTGAATTCTTCGATCAACACTTGACCGGGTAACTCTGAATAAATATGTACATATTTAACTCTTCTAAAACACGTGTGATTTGAAAATAAATGCAGGGCTTTTAAACTTATCTTGTTCCCGATAGGCAAATATGTCGCATCTAAATCAAGAAATTCAGGGGTGGGTAGGTGTTATCACACCAGAGTTGTATGGAATTTTCAAATATTTCTAAAAATAGTTTCCCTGACATTTACAATTATAATTCAACAATATGGTTTCGATATCATAATTTCATTTTTTTAAATCAGTAATTAAATTAAATTCCCGAACCATCCTATCCATTCATACTTAAAAGCGCAGTATTAGTTCTTTCATTTAAGCTGTCGTTTCGTTTTCCTGCCTGAGTACTTAATATTGCACAAAATGTTTGCAGTGATTTTAAATGTACATATTAGATTGGCACTAAGATTCCGTTTAACAAGAGATGTATTAAAGTGTCAGGTCGGTTGTTTCCTCTCAACAAACTATGGGCGCTGCTCCGGGCACCTTGCTCAAAACCATCAATCACCTTTACGTGCACCGACATTAAAAATGGAACCATTCGAAAAGGGGTCTTTTATTCGGAATTTGCATTGAGACTCGCATTTCTATATGTAAAAGCTCACTGTCAGATGTCAAAACTGAAGTCCCATAAACTTTCCCCTATACATCACAGTAGAGTTTAATTTAAAAAGGGATCTGCTAAATTGGGAAAAATATATCCCGGGTATAGATACGATTGTCACCTCGGGGACAACGGTTTTGAAGAGATGTTTGAACGATCAGCTATTATTTTCTGGCTAACTGTTGTCATATTGCTGTCGGTCAGTGGGCTTGAGTACCAATAGGGGTCTTCCAGCAAATACCCTCCTAATTAATGGATACTCTGATTTAAGATGGTGAGTTTGAGGAGGAGGCATCTATTCAAAATTTGTTAGGGTCTCAAAACACGTGTTTACCATGCATTCAAAAAGCGTGAAATCTATTGCTTGAGCGAAGAAAAAAAACATACAGCACTCTAAATATCCAGCAGAATTGCACATTGTTGAGTGCGAGTGCACCGCACATTAAATTATTTTTTTTCTTTCAGTTTTTAAATTGGTTTTCTTAGAGTCTGATATAAAATAGGAATTTGATATCCAAATTCTTTGAACTTTCACTTTTTAAAAGGAAAAACATTACAACTGTTGGGTGCTCTGTGCCATAATTTCACCATGCAAGGACAGGAGCGGTGCCTAGAGCAAAGTTACAGCTTACTCATTATTCATGCCCAGAAATGACTTTCTGTTGGTACACCCTGAAGATAATTCCACTGCCAAATGGTATTAGTACAGTGATTTAAAATCAGCCTCAATAGAAAATACAGATATGTGAATAAGGCGGCGATTGTGGTTCAGCAGATATGATATGGAATAAAGTGGCTACGGATTTTATTTTCCTTCAAATTTAAACTCTTTATCAACATTTTAAAGATTTATAAATGGTTTTGAACGATATGCTAACATAAGCGATGGAATATTACACAACATTTTACCCCTAACTGGTAATAAACATTGTCGGACGGAGAAAAGATCCGCCGTGCAATTTTGACACAGTTCCGATGCAGTTATTTCGAAAAAGAGAGAGAGGATCAGCCGTGCATTTTGAAAGCAGCCCTGATTCAGTATTCCTGTCGCCGTGAACACTTAGCGGCGCATAGCATTTTATGAAATGATAAAGGTGTCGTAAGATTAATTCAAACTTGGTCCATCGGAAGATGATTAGCTCAAATAGACAAATCTGTTGATATAGCAGTTAAGGTTGTTTGCCCTACAGATTGTTCTTTTTTTTACCTTCTTCACTGAAGAGACCATCAATCACAGATCGACTGTGACAACAATACACACTCAAATTCTTTGTTCTTCTCTGAGGTTTTCAGATCAAGTTTCGAGTGTTTGATCTGTTATATACCCAAGTACAACCAAACACCCCTCTAATTCATGCAGTATGACGCACATTATGCATTCTCTTACAATATCAATAGAACATACAGTACTTTAAATAAATCACATTTTTCCTCCTTTTTCATATACAAAATTTTGGTCAAGGAAGTTTTTAAATCTTCTCAACTACAAACAATAAAAAAAAATAAACTATTGTAGTATAATGTCTAGAAAATTGTATGTTGCTTCAGACTGTTTGTGTGTTGTTTTGATCACAGAGATTATTGTCCTTCGGTAGGAAACCGTTGTAGAAGTTGTACAGAAGGCCACAAAGACATAGATAAGAGTTCGGGACTGTAATTTGTAAAGTGTCACAGATTACTACCACACAAACCAACACTCTGGACAGCACGCAAAATACAAAACCACACAATACTTGATCCCCAAAGGTTTACACCAAACGTCTGTGTCCAGTAAGCAACAAAAAAGACATACTTACTATTATGAACACATGGTTCCACGAAATACATTGATTCCGAGCACGATAGCACAATACTGATAGTGTCAGTCCACTTTTAACGCACTGAACATCATGTGCAATTTGCTGATGACAAATGGCCGTGAAGGCGGAATGAGAATTGAATTCTGCGTCCAAATAGAAACTCTTCACACGTTTAGGTAGATTTTATCCAACGTAAAAACAGATAGGAAACCATAAGAATATTTGAATATGTTGTTTGTTATCGGGTTAGAGACTACGAACGGTAATAGCTTACAGTTTACACAAGATAAGGGAGGGTGGACTTCTCGCAGACGACAGCCAATCCATGGCGGCAAACCCAATCGATCATGTAAAACGTGATTACCCAAAATTATCAAGTACATTATATTAAAATCATTAACTGAATTTTAATTTAGTGTTTGTCAATTAAATGTTGTGGTTTTTCAGTCAAATGAAAAGATAAGTCAAAGAGATTTGCTCAAGAAGTCAGGAAGTCAACAAACTGAAATCTTTTATAAAATCCTTTTTTGATAATTTCATTTCTATCTTATGAGTAGTGGCAGATATGATGCTTCAATTAAAAAATAAAGGTTAAGTGGTTCTTCAAAAATTTCCTGAGATTCTTTGCTTCTACATGAAAAAAAAATAGTACTTTTTTAAAAAAAAAAAATAGATTTTTAATTAAAATTAGCTGAAATGCAATTAATCGACGCGCCTTTTTAAAAATTTAGAGATCTGAATGTTTTATTTTCAAAAATATTGTTAAGGGGAAAAAAGGAAAACCAAAAGAGAAATTTTAATCAATGTAAAAAAAAAAGACAAAAAACATTCATATTATACCAGTGCAAGAAATTCATTGATTAAATTTAAAAAAGTAAAGTTAATATTACTAACTTATGTTGATTACATGATTATGAATATTTTGTGATGATTTCAAAGATGAACTAACAGTGAATTTAAAAGTGCTTTAGTATTTTATATACTAATATTTTCTTTTTCAATCATAAAAAAAATATTATTGATACAAAATACAAGAAAAGCATTAGGGACATGTACAACGGGAGTCGTAACAAATTGCATGAAGACCAATAAAAAAAAAATACAAAATGGGGAAAACGGAAATAAAAAGAAAAAAACAAACAAACAAACAAAAACACTCCCCCTAAAAAAACAAACAAAATAAGTAATTAAATAAAAAATATATAGATACAATAGCAAAATGCATATAGATATCGGCTAAAAATGAAATATGAAAATAAAAAGTCGTCGTTGTTGTTTTGAAATTTTATTGACTGTAAAATCATCTTAAACATAAATTCAGTTTCCTACGTCATCGGGAATCAGCGTTTATTATTGACCTTTGGTTAAAAAAAGAGTAAAAGGAATAAAAGATTCAATATACAGCCTAGACATACATATTTTACATTGCCATTAAGAACTAAGATCATAGTTTTGAAAAGATTACAAGAATCGAAAATTGCAATTATAAAATAAAACGAATAAATATGCAGAAGTACTTATTTATCATAAGCACAAAATAGATCGGGTGTCGGAAAAAAAGCAATCCCCCTCCCTTGTTCAAGCTGCATCGTTTTAAGTTATATTCACGTTCCAGCTTAATTATTTATGTGCATCAAGTCAATTTGATAATAAAATTTTATTTCGATGTAATGTTTTTTGTAACATAAATTTGAAAAATATTCGAAAAATAGCATAAATTATCCATTTCAGCATTATAATAAAATATCGAAGTCTTTCAACTAAGTGAAACTGTTTTGTAGCATAATTACAATACAAAAATTTAGACAGCAGTGTTTACCTTACTTGTTATCATGTTCAATTTTCTTTTTTTCAAAATTAATTGTAATTATTTATTTTTTATGTATAAATTCAAGATATTGATAGAATTCAAAAGAGGATATATTTTATAACCTTTCAAAAGAGTCAGGATGCATAAGAAATTTATGACAATGCGGATACCTGGCCCCAAGACCATAAACTGAGAACAGACTTAAGTCAAAATTTCAAACCAATATAACTTTTGAAATAATTTTGATAATGAAACAAAATTTTTATCATATATTTGAATTTAAAATGTTATATAAAATTGCAAAGTTTTAAGCAAATACATTAAATAAAACTCAAGATATTAAAAACCAAAATTTTGACTTAAGTCTATTCTCAGTTTATGGTCTTGGGGCCAGGTATTTCTTGCAGCTTGTTCAAGAAGTCTATTAACCATGCATCACAGAGTATTGTTCAATTATACTAAAATAGTAAATGACTGTAGATTTAAATTTTCATTCTAATACTTATTTTACACAACAATTGATAGTTCTGCTAGTCTACATATCAATCTCGGACTAATTTATTTCCTATGCTTTAACCTTCTAAGATAAAAACTCATCCTTTCTAAATCATTCACTTTCACGTTCAAATAAACTGTGTAAATTATTTTTAAATTAAAAAAAAAAAGAACTCAAAAACTCCAATTTAGCGACATGATAGAGAGTGTTTCTTCCATTTGTTTATAAATATAATTATATAAAAGACCTAAAAAAAAAAAATGAACTCAGTGTAACCCGTATGTACAATCAAAGGTTTTATGATTTTATCAATGAATAGTTCAAATAAACTTACACGTATAGTCAATTTATAAAATCTTATATGTAAGAATTCGCTTGAAATCAAATCAACTGGTATTTCTTATATTTTTTGTGGTAGTAGCAAGATTTTGAAGGAGGCATTCTCCGTTCAAGAAAGCCTTTAAAAGGTTTTTTATCACTTGATTTCTTTAATCCCAATCCAATATCTAAATTAATTCAGGAGACTTTAAAGATATTTATTTTTTTTTTTTAAAAAGATGCATGAGATCATAATTATGATCACCACCATCATTAAATTTTAGTAAAGAAAAAATCTTAGTAACTTTAAGAGGGAAAAACTACAAAATTTGAAACTACTATCCTTTCTTATTAATTTTAATTTATCAAATTATCTCTGCAATGTGACTTCTTTAATTTATGAGAAAGAACACCAGCTTTCTATGTGTATATCGAGACATACAAAAAAATCTTGTGCAATCTTTGAACATATTTTAATCTTTATAAACATCTTCATAACCCTGTTCTATTTTTTTTTATAATCCTCTCATTACTGAGAACATCATATCCTATCCTCCCTCAGTGAATAAAGATTTTAAAACATTTTTTCCGGGGGGGGGGGGTGTTAAATGGTTGGTACCATAATGTTTGTTATTCTTCAAAGTATTTTTAAATTAATTTTGATAAAAATTCTTAGTTCTGAAATTCATGTAGCATATGTATGTGTGTATTTCGAAATGATTTTAATTGAATATCAAATTTTAAATACTCGTTTACTTAATATGGTATTTTTTTTTTCAAAATTCATTTGAGATGTTTTCCCGTGTAATATTAATATTTATGCATAAGCGATGATACATTTTCATGTTTCCACCGAAAAAGATGCCGCATATAACATTTATGAATGAAGGTTGAGGGTTTTCTGTAAACAGAACCCAAAAGAAAACATGTCAGTCTTAATCGAAGTTCATGTATTCGGGGGGGGGGGGGGGGGGAGGGGGGGATTTGTCAGAGTTTGAGCGAATCCTCGAGATACAAATGATATACCGAAACGACTCTTCCAGACCATTGTTATAGAAATTCCAAAGAATGATTGATTGATTGATTGTATATTGTTTAAGTCTCATTCGATAATTTTTTCACTCATATCTCATATAGAGACGTCACTATATGCCGATGAAGGGCTTCAAATTTAGACCCTTATTCGGCACTCAGGGCCATTCTTTGAAATTCCAAAGAAGACGAACGGGAAAATTAGTATTTGACAATATAGCAAAACTCCGGCAAATCTCTGACCAGTGGTTTTTATCTCGGCCTGTTGTGGTCCAGGTGAGAATGTGACCTTAATTAGAGATCCAACTTTTCAATATTATTCGATATATAGACACTTAAGTAAATACCTACACAATATCGCCACATTGTATATAATAGGGACTTAGATGTGCGAATAAGCCGACTGACACTTGTGAGATACTGTCCAAGTACGTGGGAATTACAGAAATATCTTAAGACGTGCGTTTAGTCCGACTTTATTAGGGAGATCGGGAGTCGAGGTGATAAGGCGAAAGAAACAAAAAGTGTCAAAACGGACTGACACCAAGTTCCTTCTTCCTTAAGAATATTATCAATCATTTTGGTTTGCCACATATTGTAAAAGGGAGGGCGGGAATGAGATAATAATCCGACTTGTTGATGAAAAGCTACTGATAGTTAATGTACCAGGCTATGAGAAATTAGAGTAAAATCGAAAATAGGGTTATACCTTTTACCCTTTTCAAAAAAAAAAAAAAAAAAAAAAAAAAAAAAAAAAAAAAAATAAATAAATAAATAAAAAAAAAATTAAAAAATACAGTAACCAAAATATTCCCAAGAAATTTGCTTTTTTTTTTTTTTTTTTTTTAAATTCTTACTTGCATTTTTTTTTTTTTTAATCTTGCAAGCACTTTTGTTTGATAATTCTTAACCAGAGATTAAAACTAAAATTTTTGAAAATTTTATTTGAACCTGACGTATATGAATTTTCAGTAGATGAAAAATGTTATAATTGTTGAAAACTTTGAAACAGAGAATATTTATCAGGTATGATTAGACCTCTTCTTAATTAATGGTAAAAATCAGTGACATGAACATGCTATAACTATTTGAATAAGAAATAGAAACACTTAAATTTTTAACATTTAAACATTTTCAGAAAACAAATTGGAAAAAGCATACAAATGCCTCATTTTCTTAAATAATGCATTAAAAAAAAATAAAATAAGTGCTTTCGTAAATCGATATTTGGTCTCAAAATTACAATAATTTGTCCCTTTCTTTCAGTGTTAAATTGTTAAATAAGAAAACCACAAAAAGACCCGATAACGGCGAAAATTTTTGTAGAGTAATAATTCAAAACAAGGAAAAAAATTAATGAATGCAAAGAAAGAAAATCTCAATATCTTCTAATTGTATTTTAGCAATAAAGACTTTTATAGCCATTAGGGGATAAAAAACCATAGCATGCTTACCTTGTAACAAACGTAAAGTGAGGTCTGTGTCGCTCCTGTTATCTCTTGTACATAAACAAAGGGCGTAGATTCCGAAACTTTGATAAGAACTAGAGTAAAATTCTTGACTTGTTTTAACTTTGTAGGAATCTTAGTTTGACCAATGATTCAAATACAACATTTTTAAAAGGCTTCAAATAA